AATGTCCTGAGGCATTATGGGTAGAGAGCCATCCATACCTGTCCACTGTTATCTGCAGCCTGGAACCCCGCCCAGGACCCAGATAGAGTAGGGGCTCCCTCCCTATCACATGCAATTGGGAACCTTTAGGACCACCTAGTCCCCTTCCAACATTGTCACAGAAACAATCCAAGACACCGCTGATCCCAACCCATCAGCCAACTTTACTGGCTGTGGGCTAGCCTGGTTTTCAAGGTCTGAAATACCCGAGTTCATGTTTCAGATCTACTCCTCATTAACTGTGTGACTTTGGGAAAGTTTCTCAACCTCTCCGAGTCCCAATATCCTTATCTGAGTTGTAACAATGATGAAAGTACTAATAATGACAGGAACACTAATCATAGCAACTCATCCTTGTCTCATTCATGGTATTTTTATTACTTTACTTCTAGAGAAAATCTCTGCCAAACGCTAAGCAATTTCCTGACACAGCTCGCTCAATCCTCACATCCACCTGTAGGACCATCTCTCATCCCAATATTGGTATTGTCACCCAGCTCCCAAGTGTTCAGAGCATTTATAGCGAGAAACTCACAAGCGTGTTCATCACCAACAGCCTCTTTGTAGGCACTTATTCTCATGAATCTCAAATTCTGGTCCTCTACAGAAAGAGGCTGGGCAGCTGGGAAGAAAGCATGAGCTGTGGGAGGTGGAGTTCATTTTCCTGGATTAAAGGAGGCTCAGAATTGCCGTCCAAGTCTTTGTAGAATGTGGAAATACTGACTTAATGTTATCCCCTGTTTAACATTTCAGACTCTACAACATATGCACATTTTCTGTTCAATGCTTTTGATACGGACCACAACGGAGCTGTGAGTTTCGAGGTAAGCCCGAGACCGTTTCCATGTCATTTGACTTCAGACACTGTGAAAGGGATTTTAGTCTTTTTAGTGGAAAAATTTGAGTTTGGCAATTTGATCATTTTTGAATAGAGGGGAAATTAAAAAGCCCAAGAACACTTTCTTTCCCTCATGGAATTGCCAAGAACCTGCCCTTATCTTTCAAAAGAAGTATAAATTACAAGCCACATTTAGTTTGTTTTCTAGCGCTTTATATCTGTTCGTACAAGGAAATTCCATTTCCTCGACTGAATGTGAACAATCCCAGAAGACGAATGATTTAACTAACGTTTGCTGGCACCTACTGTGGGCTGGTCGCTGTGGTAGGTCGCGGAAATACAAAGATGATAAAGTCAAAAGCCCTACTGTGGGAGGCCCAGGAAGCAGGGCAGCCAGGCAAGAAAATAAATAGAGAAAAATATTATATTCAACAGCCTGACAATTTTACAAGGACATTTCTTTTTAAATTACAAACTTTAAGTGATCTGTAGAGGAAGCATGCAATTTTGTCATGAAATACTGTGTATAAACATCTAGTAAAATGACGTATGTCCTAGATAGTCCCATAGTTTATATGTGTGTGTGTATATACACACATACACACCTATATATACACACACACAGATATGCACACACATATAAATATGATAATGTTGTTCACATGATTTATGTGATACATAGCAGGTCACACATAGTAATAATATACTTGACTTTAAGTACTAGGAGAATAGACCAAACACTAAGTCTGATCAGCTGTAAAGACTGGAGCCTTTAATTTTTGTTAGGAAAACTATGCAAAAAATGTATAACTCATCTACTTGCTTATTTTTGAATGGCTGCGTTTGGTCTCTGGGGATTAGAATTAAACATTACCTTACTTTGTAATTCCAGTTCCTCTGCTTAATTAACACATGTATATGTAGGTGTATATATGGAAATGATGTAATTTGGGAGATGCATTTTTTGGGAGTGGAAGAGGAGGCATCTTACACATGGGCAGAAATCTCAGCAAGGGCCATGACTTAGGAAAGCAGGGAATGGAAGGAGACCAATAAGAAAAGTGTAACAGGGGGGTGGGCGTGTTTGTAGCTTTGACTCAGGCAGTGCAAAGGCAATTTATGTGACCAGTGTTTGTACCCCTGTAATATTCTGAAATT